TTAAAAGGAAATTGTTTATCACATTTGCCATATGTTTCCAATCTATTGTGTGTTAGGAAACCATTTGGGGAAATCAAACTTGGAGATTGAGTCAATTAATATTTCCTGAAAACAGTTCTTTCTTACAGGAGTTGCAAATAAAAATTCCAACATAAATACATGTATAGGCTCTTTCACATTGTGAATGTTCAATGGGGAATTTTGAGTTTGCTTAACTTTTGGACTGGAAGTTAAGCTTGCATTCACAAATTAAACTAACGGCTGGTGATTTGATGCTGAGCTTATTTGAATAGTATGTGCTACTATTCATATTTATATTTAAACGAGTTGGCCATAAAAAAGTACATGTAGGTTAAATCCTCAGCCAACAGCCGGCAGTTGAATTTGTGAATGCTAGTTTAGAATTTGTTTTAACTTCAGCCCAGGTATTCTTTGGTGAGTTCAGTGGAGGTCAGGAGTCGTATTACCAGGAAGACCTTCAGCAACTTGCTACAGTCACCAAGAAAGAACATATGCAGGGCAACCAGTTAATGGACAACTTTAGGTGAGTTCATGTCTCTATTAGGGGTTAATGGGTCAGGAGTCATATTACTAGGAAGACCTTCAGCAGCTTGCTGCAGTCACCAAGAAAGAACATATGCAGGGCAACCAGTTAATGGACAACTTTAGGTGAGTTCATGTCTCTATTAGGGGTTAATGGGTCAGGAGTCATATTACTAGGAAGACCTTCAGCAACTTGCTGCAGTCACCAAGAAAGAACATATGCAGGGCAACCAGTTAATGGACAACTTTAGGTGAGTTCATGTCTCTATTAGGGGTTAATGGGTCAGGAGTCATATTACTAGGAAGACCTTCAGCAACTTGCTGCAGTCACCAAGAAAGAACATATGCAGGGCAACCAGTTAATGGACAACTTCAGGTGAGTTCATGTCCCTATTAGGGGTTAATGGGTCAGATGTCTCACTAACAAGAGGACATTCAGCAACTTGCTAAAGTCACCAATTATTATGTTCTAAAAGAAGGTCAGCCTTAAAATGTAATATTGTGAAGATCATGGGTGCAGCACTATTTTTTAGGTTTAATAGAATTACATTTTCATTGCACTTTATGAATGATTTGCTTCTCTTATTTTTATTTGAAAATACCCCCCTCTCTGCTATTCGTAGACCGTGGCATTCTCTGATTTTGATCTAAAAGTACTTCCTCTGTACCATTCGTAGACCATGGATTCTGTGATCGAGACAGAAGTTGCAACAATTGATTAATTGATTATGTTCTCCAGATCCAGTAAGTTTGTGATTCGGATGTCTCGGGAATCGAACACACATCTGAAGAGACATCTGCAGGAGAAAAAACACAGACTGCTTCTCAACATCATAGACGAACATCTTCTCATTGACTGTAAGCATTTGCAAGAAAATGTGCCACTTGTGAACATCTGAGAAACAGATGCAATTAACATATTGATTTTTGGATTTCCAGTCTTTTTTATTCTTTAGAATTAATATACTTTAACCGCAAATAATACGATTAAAAAATATTGTATCCATAGATAATAATGAAAAAACAGTAGTTTTCGTTCAGGTATTGATCTAAATGATTTCAGTTTTTAGTTTTTGTGAATTTCTTTAGTTTTATTCTTTGAGGAGATGAAGCTTTCTCTCAGTTGTTGTTCTATTCTGATCTAAATGATTTAAGTGTTAATTAAATGAAACATGTTTTTATTATGAATTTGCTAGTTTTGCCCTTTTGTATACACGAGTAGTTTTCTCTCAGGTGATGTTCTAAATAATTTCAGTGTTTGATGGAGCTCCTAGGACTAAGACGCAGGTTGACGCTTCATCAGGAGGACTTCTTGGAGAGGTTGTTAAGTCAGGTATGAAGTAAACGTTATGCGTTATGAAATAGAACAGCCACTGAGACACTTTCTTGGAGAGGCTGTTAAGTCAGGTATGTAGTAAACGTTATGCGTTATAGAAATAGAACAGCCACTGAGACACTTAAATGCTTTATGCCACAATGGGAGGATAAAATATGAGTTTGTTTAAAGAGGACAAAAATAATTGTTATTACTTTAAGCATTACCTTTTATCATTTTATATATTTTGAGAATTACCCACAACAGTGTACATGTTACAGTACCTAATAAACTTTTTGAATCTTTTTAATATTTTCTTATGAGCATACAAGCAGAAAGTGTATATTTATAATAATTTCATCCTTCCAGCCAATAAAAGCAAAGTGTATTATGGTCTTCAATAATGTAATTTGTACTTTCAGCCAATAAAAGTAAAGTTTATTATGGTCTACAATAGTGTAATTTGTACTTTCAGCCAATGAAAGCAAACTTTATTATGGTCTACAATAATGTAATTTGTACTTTCAGCCAATAAAAGTAAAGTTTATTATGGTCTACAATAATGTAATTTGTACTTTCAGCCAATAAAAGTAAAGTTTATTATGGTCTACAATAGTGTAATTTGTACTTTCAGCCAATAAAAGTAAAGTTTATTATGGTCAACAATAATGTAATTTGTACTTTCAGCCAATAAAAGTAAAGTTTATTATGGTCTTCAATAATGTAATTTGTACTTTCAGCCAATAAAAGTAAAGTTTATTATGGTCTTCAAAAATGTAATTTGTACTTTCAGCCAATAAAAGTAAAGTTTATTATGGACTCCTGAAGGAGCCAGACTTCAATATTCCTCTTGATGATGAGGATGAAGGAGAACAAACTGAAGACAAACCAAAGGTCAGTTCTTGTTCATTGTGAATATGAGAGGTGTGGGGGGAGGGGGTGGTCCATAAACAATACCTCTATCATATATTTATCTTCCAATTATGATAATGAGAGGTTATTCAAAACCCATACAGTCATTGTACCTAAGTTTTCAATGTTGTACATTGGAAAGGTTTTTTAAAAACATCCATTTAATTATATCATATCCATGCACTTACATTGGAGGTTTATTTAAAACCCAAACATTTATTTCATACCTGTATAAAGAGTGGGGGGAGGTAGATCCAAACTCCATGACAATTTCATACGTATATGAGAAAGATAGAGGGTGGTATTTCAAAACCTATTCCACATTTCATGTTTGTATGAATGTATAAAGGATTCAAAAACATCTATGGATACTATTTAGCACAGCCTTAATTGAGGTAGATCATGAAATAATAGAGAGGTTGAGCTACAGGTATTCAACAAAGCGTGAATGTGAACTTCAATGTGCATGTAGCAAAGTGACGTCAGATAAGTCTAATATCTACAAGTCAATGTGAAAGTTACATAGGTACTTACTTGCAAAGGATACACAGGTCATTACACTATCATTTTAGCCACATTGTAGAGTAAATCAGGTGCCTTTATTCAATATTTACGTACTTTGTTGTTACGATGGCCTTTCAACAAAGCCCATGTTGTAACATTGATTAAGTTACTGGTGAAATTACAACTTCAAAATGTGATAGTTTTATCTCATCTTGTAAAATATAAAATCCAATTGGCCATAGTGTAATCAGACTAACATTCACTTAGGGGCGGGGTCAAAATATCAATGTTCATATGGAGACGAAAGTAATTTCGTTTGGACAACAACCCCCCCACCCCCCTCTAGACGAAAGCTTAGGTCACTTCAAAAAAACATTGATTAATAATCGTATCCTATTTGCCGTGTTATTATTACGGTGAATTAACACACGTTCGCAATTTTACTGCATTGAACTCTTCAAAAGGAGGAGGGAAAAGTACGGAATTTATTTGAAAAATGATCGAATTATCGTCTTTATCTACCAATATTTTGGACCTATCACACAAAAAAGCTCACGAACTATTGAAAACAAGCCTTTTTATCAGAACATAGCGCCAGAAAAAGTGGGTAAGTCCAATTATTTTTTGTATATCAGATCCGAATTATCGATGTTTTTTTGGTCAACGAAAGTGCCCAAAAACCCCCTCCCCCCTCGCGAAAGTACTTTCGTCTCCATATGAACATCGATATTTTGACCCCGCCCCTTATATTGGTTTACACACGCAAAGCTTAACAGAAAATTTGCTTAAGACATATCATGATCACTCCTCCCAGTTTTCTGCAAGTTAAAGTGCAAAAGTCTGCAAGTGAAATTTGTGAATTCTGCAATGGGAAAGGCTAATTCTGCAGAAATTCTGCGGAAAATGTGATAGATATAATAAAAATGGGAAAATATTGTGATATTTATACAGTCAGTCACTACGTCACTACTCAATACAATGTACATGCTGCCATCTAGCGACAGAAATCAAACGATGAAGTTTAAAATATTCACTTAGCATAATTTGGTCATGTTTATTTGACCAAAATAGTTGATTATGCAATTCCGTTGGCGAAGGCAAATTCCGTCCGCGCTCTGCAAACACGGAATCCTGGGGGCAGTGCATAATGTCATGAATAAGGAAAAATAGACATAAGAATACGAAAAAACAATAATGACATCCCTTGTTATATACATATAGTTTGTATAGGTGCCATATTGAGAACTCTAATAATTGTGATAGTACAATTATAATATCATAGTAATTGATCTCATTGATATATCCCATGTATCACAGAGTGTCTATAGTGATAAGTATATCAAACATGTGTTTAATAGTGATAAGTAATATCAAACATGTGTTTCACAGTGATAAGTAATATCAAACATGTGTTTCATAGTGATAAGTAATATCAAACATGTGTTTCATAGTGATAAGTAATATCAAACATGTGTTTCATAGTGATAAGTAATATCAAACATGTGTTTCACAGTGATAAGTAATATCAAATATGTGTTTCATAGTGATAAGTAATATCAAACATGTGTTTCACAGTGTTAAGTAATATCAAACATGTAGTGATAAGTAATATCAAACATTTGTTTCATAGTGATAAGTAATATCAAACATGTGTTTCACTATACACAGGTTTTACTGTAGTAGTATCACTTATTTGTCTCACAATATTACGTAGGATTCTAGATTCTTGAAGTATACTGAGGTATGTCATCTCTAGTACCAAACTATACAAAGGAAAGCCATTCCTAGTAACAAAGCCTTTACAGCTTCAACTGCAATTCCACCATTAGTTGTACCAGGTTTCACACATTCCTCTTCCTTGTCTCCATTCTCAACTGAATTGAGAGAACATTGTGCATTGGTCAGCAGTTTACCAATATAATCAAACCAGAATTCTGAACGTTCTCGTTTAATAGAGCCATCTTTGGCTTGGATGGTGTCCCCGAATTCTATGTAGTGACTGGACTCGCTGGTACTTGCTGGCCAATATGTTGATAAAACTGGGTTTTCTGGCTCGTTGGGATCTCTGCAATAAGACAAGAGAAATCAATGAAATGAATGGAGAGGAAAATCAGTGGGACATTTCCTGATCAATATCTTAAAAGTCTTTATTTCCAGTCATAGGTTATATATCAAATATTTATCCAAATGAAATGTTTTAAATTAGGAAACATACTTATGAAATATGAAGTATCAACTTCCTAGTCTCTAAAAAATTTAAACTGATTTGAACTCTCAGTGTATTTCTAAATACCTACCCAGTCTTTGCAAAGTTTGTCCAGTATGTGATCATATTTTCCGAGATATTCTTCTCTAGTTCAGTGCCTTTTGGGATAAGTGGAGACAGGTCTTGAAGGATAGGGGAGTAAAAGAGATACTGCAGGTCATCTGTATGGTCGGCACCAGTCATCCAGGATGGCACAGTCCCTGCTTTATAGCTAGGAGCATGGGTCAGGTGGTACAGGAAGCAATTCTGACCATAGGCATGTGTTAAATGGTCAAGTGGAAGCAGGAACGCTTCATCTGTTCCTAAATGAACCACTTTCTCAAATAGTTCATCCGCACTCATATCATCTATGGCCTTTAGTCCAAAGTAAGCGTACCAGATGGCCTCATACATATCATTTGATAAATCTCCCCCGTAATAGTTACTCGTTGTCTGCATCAGCTCCTCCACGAATGCTACAGCACTTGATTGGTTCCCAGAGGAGATTCTGGGATCTGTCCTTAAAATCATATATCCTTCATGACTGTTGATTCCCATCATAAGGTCCACACTGGTCAACATCTCATACCCTGGCCCTGTGGCTTCATCCAGTTTCACAGGGGGCTCTGTGATGAACTCCCCATCCACAACAGGGGACCATATTGCACGCCTGTTACTTCTCATATAATTCAGGGCTGTATAAAGAAAGTATGAGATGTAAATAAAAGGAAATCAATTGTATTCCCGACCTAGACATTCCCAAACTAGACTATAGATTATACTCTGACTACCTTTTAAAGTACAATGAGATGTAAATAAAAGGAAATCAATTCTATTCCCGACCTAGACATTCCCAAACTAGACTGTAGACTATACTCTGACTACCTTTTAAAGTATGAGATGTAAATAAAAGGAAATCAATTCTATTCCTATAATAAGACTAGACTCCATGTGCAGGAAAGGAAGAACTTTATTACTCGTTAGAATATTACAGGGGTAGTGTACGCAGACCGTACACACAAGTACCGTTAATCTTAGATTGACATGAACTGATCATTACATCTCCCCTTTTTACATCGGAGGTCATTCTGAGATACATGTCCATGTAATCAAATATAACAATTCAATTTGTATAAAAATAGAACCATATGCCTTACAATGTATTTGTATTTTATGTGGAAATTGCATGTTGCTGTATGTAAACTATATGTAAACTGTATGTAAACTGTATGTAAAATGAAATAAAGTTTACCATACTCAATGCTTGATTTTATATATAAACTAAGCTGTACTCAATGCTTGATCTATCTACTGAAGTTGTTCAAAATGTCTTTAAACACTGAAAACTATAGGTCAGTATAAACTGACTAAATGTTCATCACATCACCTTGATGCTAAATGTCTTTGATTGTCTTTTAATGCTGTAAGTCAGTATACACTGACTAAATGTCTATCACATCACATTGATGCTAATACTCTTGATTATTTTTTAGAGATCAAGTCTTACAACAGGTTTTGAGATTCTAGTTGACCTTCTCAATGGCATAGGTTCTTCACAATTATTAGATGTGTTACCATGGTTACCAGTTGTTTCAGATGACTTGAATTCATCATTTCCCCTTTGAATAGAAGATTTAGTGGGTGTTGGGACATGTAAGTTACTCAAAGGATTGGGATTTGTGGGACTTGTATTTGTTACATGGGGGGTAGGCTTTGGTTCAGGAATATGCAAGAGATCTTGGCGGTCTCTTCTATAGATTCCACCATTATCAGCATGTACTTTGTAAGACCTGGGAGACACTTTCTCTAGGACTTTAGCCTTTACATCCCAAGTGGCTTTGTCATCATGCTTGGATTTCATTCTCACATAATCATCCTTGGTCAAGTTTGGCAGATCTCTGGATCCTTTATTGTAGTATTTCTTCTGTCTTTGTTTTAAGACTCTTCTTTGTTTGTTTATCTTTGACTTCTTGTTAATGTCAGGACTAATTTGAGGTATTTTGCTGCGTAGTCTACGTCCCATTAGCATTTCAGCAGGAGACATACCAGTCTCTAGTGGTGCATTTCTATATGCTAGAAGGGATAAGTAGGGATCTTCACCACTATGTGCTGCTTTCTTCAGGAGATGTTTGACTGTTCTGACTGAATTTTCTGCTTTCCCATTTCCTTGGTGTCTATAGGGACTAGATAAGGAGACCTCAAACTCGTATTCCTTGGCAAACTCAGAAAATTTTGAGGATGCAAATTGAGAGCCAGTGTCTGCTCTAACAATATTAGGAATACCCTGTCTGGAAAATGTTGATTTCAGTTGCTGTATAATTGTGCTTGTGTTGGTGCTTTGTAGAAGAGCTACTTCTGGGTATGTGGAATAGTAATCAGTCATGATGAGGTAGTTCTTTCCAAATAGGTGGAAAACATCACAACCAATTTTCTGCCATGGTCCGGTTGTTGTATCACCATCAATCATGCTTTGTTTCCTCTGGCTATATCTGTACATTTGGCAGGCTTCACAGCTATTTACCATGTGTGTAATATCTTTGTAGATACCTGGCCAATACATACAGGTTCTGGCTAGTCGTTTGCACTTTTCAATGCCAATGTGACCAGCATGTAGGCGATGAAGCATATCCTTCCTCATTGAGGTTGGAATTACCATGCAGTTGCCTTTAATCAGTATGCCGTCAATCAGGGTAAGGTCATCTCTCATCTGATAGTATACTCTCTCTGCTGATGATGGCCAACCATGCAAGACATACTGGGTTACTTTCTGAAGATAAGGATCTTTAGCAGTTTCCTCAGCAATTTTCTTCATGATTTGAGCTGATGCTGGGATGGAATTCATGATCATGTTTACATGGTGGGTTATCTCAGAGTCTACTGTTTCAATCGGTGTATTACTGACTACAGACCGCGAGAGTGTATCTGCTATCACCAGATACTTCCCTGGTGTATAAGTCATGAAATAGTCATATCTCTGGAGCTTCATCATAAGTCGTTGAATTCTTGGGGTCATTTCATTGAGATTCTTCTTGGAGATGGGTATCAATGGTTTATGGTCTGTCTCAAGCTCAATTTGGTGAAGTCCATAAATGAGCTCATCGAATTTATGACAACCATAAGTTATGCCTAGCAGCTCCTTCTCAATCTGAGCATACCGTTGCTCACATTTTGAGAGTGACCGAGCTGCATAAGCCACTGGCTTCCAATCATCTTGATGCTGCTGTAGGAGAACAGCACCGAGAGAATCTTTGCTGCTGTCAGTTGAAACCTTTGTTCTTTTGTCAGGGTCATAATATGCCAGTACTGGAGATGAGGTTAAAAGCTTTTGAAGGCTTACATACTCATCTTCATGATGGCTATCCCAATGCCATGGGACATCACTTTCCAGTAGTTTTCTCAGGTGTGTAGTTTGTTTTGACAGATTTGGGATGAATTTGCCAGTGTAGTTTATCATTCCAAAGAAACGTTGGAGTTTACATTTGGAGTCTGGCTTTTCCATTTTCAGTATGGCTGCAATCCTTCCATGATCAGCCATGACACCATTGGGTGTCAAGATCTCACCAAGAAATGAGATCTTCTGAGTCTGGATAACACATTTTTTTCTATTGAGCTTCACATTGTATCTATCAAGGCGTTGAAGTACTTTATTCAATCTATTGTCATGTTCATCTTTAGTACAGCCCCAAATGATGATGTCATCGATATAAGCATATGCGCCCTCTATTCCACTTAGTACTTCATCCATAGATTTTTGGAAGATTTCTGGACTGGCACACAATCCCTGGGGTAGCCTATTGTAACAGTATCTGCCCCATGGGGTGTTAAAGGTGGTCAGTAACTGAGAGTTGTTATGGAGGCGTATTTGGAAAAATGAGGATGAGGCATCTAGCTTTGACATATACTGGGCCCCATGCATAGCACTTATGATTGAATCTTTCTTAGGAAGAGGGTAGTGCTGTCTCTTAATACATTTATTGAGATCAGTGGGATCAATAGTGGTACGAACATTTTTGTCATCTTTTACAACTGTTACCATACTATTGACCCAATCGGTAGCATCATAAACCTTGCGTATTATACCATTTGTTTCAAGTTTATCTAGATTTGTTTTAACTTTTTCACGATAAGGCTGTGATACTACCCTGGGTGAGTGAATTACAGGAGTGGAGCCATCTTTCAATTCAATTTCATAAGTGAATGGCATCGACTCCCCTGAAGTCACACACTTGAACATATTTGGATATTTCTTCTCAATACTTGAGATGTCACAATTTACAACATTGACATTTGTTTCATGGTATTGACCAGAGACTTTATTTGTCACATTTTCATCCTGGTGATTACCATTTACAACATATATTCTTTTCACCAGGTTCAATTTTACACACGTTTCATCACACAATAGTGAAATTCCATTAGGCACTATAACAAACAAGACTTTGTGAGCTCTGTCTTTAACATGAACAGTTAGTGTACATACACCCTGTGATTTTATTTTTGACCCATTATAGTCAATTAGGTTGACATTTTTTGGCATCACCGAAGGCTTGTTTTTCAAGTGCTGGAAGTCATGTATATTTATCAAATTGGCCTTGGCCCCTGTATCAAGCTTGAAATCAATAAGCTGATCATTTACAAGTAACGTAGTGACCCAAGGGTCATGACCTACACTATTCACATTGATATTATCAGGCATTATTGTGGCCTGTTGATGATTTTCAACACACGCAGGCATTATTGTGGCCTGTTGATGATTTTCCACACATTCAGGCATTATTGTGGCCTGTTGATGATTTTCCACACATTCAGGCATTATTGTGGCCTGTTGATGATTTTTCGCACTATCAGGCATTATTGTGGCCTGTTGATGATTTCCCGCACTGTCAGGCATATTTATCGTGGCCTGTTGATCACTTATAGCGTTCTTATATATGTAGCGTTCATATTCATTGTGCAGTTGCTGCAATTTACTCACTGACTTGACAGTATTGATGTAGAAGTTGAAATCTTCATCCGAGACTGATGCGTCAGAGTCTGTAGTCGTGACCTCGTTCACTTGGTTGACTGATCTACGACCTCTGCTATGACGACTGCGTTTTGAACGACTCGCACGGCTGGTGTTGGAGCTTGATCCTTTGGCCCGACAAACTGAAGATTTGTTGAAATGATTCGACTTACCACATGCATCACATGTCTTACCATACGCAGGACACTTTCGTATGGCATGGTCCTTCGAGCAGTATTTGCAATTGATGATCATTCTGTTGGATCGGTCCTTAACATTATGAATTTCAGTTTGGGACACTGATAGTCTCTCCATAGGTTTGCTCATTATTTGAGAATATTGATGAGCTATTTCCGCAGATCTACATACTTCGATTGCTTTGGTTGCATCCAGTTGTGATTCTCTTAAAAGTCTTTCTTGTAGTCTATCATTATTTATGCCAATTACAATTTGGTCACGGAGTATTTTGGATTCCTGGGTATCATAATTGCAAGTTGCGATTTTCGTTTGCAAGTCAGCCAAAAATTCATCGAATTTCTCATGTTCATTCTTCGTTCTGTTACGGAAAATAAACCTTTCGTAGGTTTCATTTGCTTTGGGTAGACAGTAATTAGAAAATTTGGTTACCACATGATCGTATTTCCCCTTGTCTTCTCCATCAGCAAACACGAAAGTGTCATAGATTTTTGAGGCATTCGGCCCGGCGGAAGTTATGAGCAATCCAATTTTCTGTTTGTCTGATTTGGCAGTGTCCCCCAATGCGTCGAGATACCATGTGAAATCTCTGATAAATTGCCTCCATTGTCGTTCCAAGTCTTTGCCGAAATCTATTCTCGGAGGTGGCAATATCGAATTCTTTAAGTCCATGCTGAATTGTCAGCTAATTTGAGGAATTTACCCGCAGTACCATATAATAAGACTAGACTCCATGTGCAGGAAAGGAAGAACTTTATTACTCGTTAGAATATTACAGGGGTAGTGTACGCAGACCGTACACACAAGTACCGTTAATCTTAGATTGACATGAACTGATCATTACAATTCCTGACCTAGACATTCCCAAACTAGACTATATAGATTATACTCTGACTACCTTTTAAAATATGAGATGTAAATAAAAGGAAATCAATTGTATTCCCGACCTAGACATTCCCAAACTAGACTGTAGACTATACTCTGACTACCTTTTAAAGTATGAGATGTAAATAAAAGGAAATCAATTCTATTCCCGACCTAGACATTCCCAAACTAGACTATATAGATTATACTCTGACTACCTTTTAAAATATGAGATGTAAATAAAAGGAAATCAATTGTATTCCCGACCTAGACATTCCCAAACTAGACTGTAGACTATACTCTGACTACCTTTTAAAGTATGAGATGTAAATAAAAGGAAATCAATTCTATTCCCGACCTAGACATTCCCAAACTAGACTGTAGACTATACTCTGACTACCTTTTAAAGTATGAGATGTAAATAAAAGGAAATCAATTCTATTCCCGACCTAGACATTCCCAAACTAGACTGTAGACTATACTCTGACTACCTTTTGAAATATGAGATGTAAATAAAAGGAAATCAATTGTATTCCCGACCTAGACATTCCCAAACTAGACTATAGACTATACTCTGACTACCTTTTCTGTCTTAATGCATTCCTGAGGTTGTAACAGTAGATAGGATTGCTTAATTTGTTTTATTGATACATTTGTAATATTTGATCAAAAATAGAAAAATAGAATACAAGGTCATATTTATGGTCATAGTTGTAATTACAATGTATTAAATTACACTCATTTCATTTTGATGGTCAGTTTAATAAATAATCTTACATGCAGCATACAGCTCAGTGGCATCTAAACCACGTAGGCACTCCACTAGGTTAACCATACTGTCGTTACTACAGCCTAGTTGTTGTCCCATACTTTTGATTGATGGAACAGTGTCCTCCATGTTAAAGACCCATGATGCAAGGAGAGACCCACTCTGTGCGATTACACGCCTGAAGATAGATAGATAGAAATATAGACAGGCATATATAGAGGTAATTTACTGATTGGGATTTGATAAGAGTTTATTCTGAAAAACATGTAAGTATTTAGTGTGATATTGGGATTTTTCTTCTTTTTTTGTGATATTGGAATGCTAGAAATGTTGATACACTCTCCTCCATAAGTTTGGCAACCTTAGCTCCCCCCATTCTCCCCCATTGAACTACATGTTAAAGCCTCTTTACGTTTGAATTTTTATTTACTTAACCAGTGATGATTTAACTTATAATATTGATGGAAATGTAACTTGACTTTATTTCCAATACCTCCAAATTTTCTCAATTTTTTTTTCCTCAATTACAATAGGTCGAAAATTGATAATAAATTTGATGAATTTTTGAAAATCGTCATTCCAATGTAATCCAATGGGAAGTGGGGGGTTTGGGGCAAATCAGAAATCAGGATATCTTTTCAGTAAAAGATTCAGCAAAAAATATTTTTATATAGAAAATTGAATTGTCTAACATTTTTGTATACTAAGTGATTGGTTTATTTGATGAATACTAAAGTTACAGTGCTTCAAAGTCATTTTTGGTCCAGCTTTTGACCCGTACCGGTCAATTTTCGTTAGCTGCGTATACCAAGGGTGCATATGACTTGCGGCAAACCTACCATTTCTCATTGGTTAACATGGGAATGCCAATTTTCGAAAATTCATCAAATTTATCATCAATTTTCGACCTATTGTAATGAAAAAAATTGAGAAAATTTGGGAGTTTTTATTTGTTATTATTGGAAATAAAGTCAAATTATGTTTCCATTAATAGTATAAGTATTTTCATCGCAGGTTAAGTAAATAAAAAGGTAAAGAGGCTTTAGCACATAGTTTAATGGGGGAGTTAAGGTTGCCAAACTTATGGAGGGGAGTGTATATTTTTAAACTTGTTCAAATAATCCTTATTTTGTGGGAAAAGGCCTATGGTTTAAATATACTACTTACTGGAAAATACCCTTGTTTTGTGGGGGAAAGGCCTGTATTGTAACAAGTATTACTTACTGAAAAGGTCCTTGTTTGGGGGAGGAGCTTCTTTTGTAACAAGTGTTACTTACTGGAAAGGTCCTTGTTTTGTGGGAAAAGGCGTATTTGTTACAAGTATAACTTACTGAAATTGCCATTGTTTTGTTGGGAAAAGGCCTGTATTGTAAAAGTATTACTCACTGAAAAGGTCCTTTTTTGGGGGAGGAGGTTTGTTTAGTAACAAGTATTACTTACTGGAAAGGTACTTGTTTTGTGGGGAAATGACGTATGTTGTAACACATATAACTTACTGAAAAATACCCTTTTTTGTGGGAAAAGGCCTGTAGTGTAACAAGTGTTACTAACTGGAAAAGGTCCTTGTTTTGTCGGGAAAGGTGTATTTGTTACAAGTATAACTTACTGAAAAAGGCCCTTGTTTTGTGGGGAAAAGGCCTGTATTGTAACAGCAGTTGCACCTGCAGATTCTCCAAATATTGTTATCCTTTCTGGGTCACCTCCAAACCTTGCTATATTCTCCTTTACCCAATGGAGTGCCAGCTTCTGGTCAAGCAATCCCATGTTTCCTGGAACCATTGGTTTATATATGAAGCATGGAAAATTGAAAATCAAAATTGCATTACTGTTTATTAAAATGTAGCTAGGCAAGGTGTGTCATGTTCCAGCAAGTCAGTATTTCAAATAATGTGGTTGTTTGAAATAATCAACCATACACCAACTTTTTGTGAACAGTTTTTGGCAGTTGGCATTTGGCAGTGAAGGTATGTAACAAATGGCAGGTTGGGTCTATCTTATATAATTGAAAACTAAATAGAAATATTTTCTAATCTCTTTTGATTATATAAGTATAACCTCAATGTCAGATAGCACTAGTCTTTTACCTGGGACTACACTATTTCCTGTGCTGAGAAATCCAAAGACATTCAATCTGTAGTTCATAGACACAAATATTACATCTCCCATCACGCCAAGTGCTGTACCATCATACGTTTTATCAGTTCCCCCAAATTGGAACCTACAACAAATAACCGAACATGTTCACAAGTCATGCTAAAAATAGAGAATGTTTTTTTTATTTTTCAAAGATAGAATCATCGTCAGTATATCCCCAAGATGCAGGGAGGTTATGAAAGATTTTGAACAACATCTTGTCACTCTAGCAACTATTTCATACATGTCATAATGATAATGATTAGGGAGTTTAAGCTTGTATCGAAACGTCAACCTATTGGTATGACCAATCGCCCATACAAATGCATTGATCACTTAAATACGTTCCTTTCACATTTAGGTTGTGAAAAACATTGCAAGCTTAAACTCCCTAATATCATAAACATAGCTCAAGGGTCATTATATTCCTAACTGAATAGAAATGAGTTTCTGTATAGATTATTTCACTCATGTGCACAACAGAGTTATTGATCATTTGTGGACAAATCATTCTTTCATTTAGAAGTCCCAGCCACTAGATTAAATTCCTTTGGTACAGTAATCACTCAGTGTTTTTCTACTGATCATATAGTTAAATTTGTTTTACCATCGAACTAAAGGCTTTAATTTTACCAATTGAAATATGATACATGACAACGGATACTGTATAAATGACAACAGGAGGTGCGGGTGAAATGTAATGTAAAATCAGGGTGACAACGGTAATATTTGAAAACGGTGTATGTAAAGGCAATGGCAAAGTGTCTATTTACCGTTGTCATTTTCCTATGTTCCAATGTAATACATCCTCCATAGTCACCTGTCACATCTTACCATATGCCATTGTCTTTGTAAATTATTTCAAATTCAGATTCCATTATCATTGACGATATTGAAGACGCTATATTGTAACATTTCACGACCCAATTTAATCGAAATTGGGATTTCATATGATACATCATCACAAGAGCTAATACATGCACAGAATTAGCAACGATAAAGTCCCATGAAACGAGGACCAAGTGATTAAAGAGTTTAAGTGACGATTATGTCCGCCATTTGTGACAACAGTATCTGACTTTACCTTTGTTAGGCTATTCCATTGTGTAGTTACAGGGTGTTAAAAAAACACAGCCCAAAGAAATCGCTATATCTTGGAAAATACATTAAAATAACATAATTGAATTAGTATTTTCCAAGATAAAGCTATTTCTTGGGGTTGCGTTTTTTGAACACCCTGAATATATTGTGCAAATAGGCAATGTCAATTGATCAGCTTTTTTGTTAAGTTATTTTTAAATGAGAAAATTGGTTGAGTGCTAAAAGTTGTATGTTTGTTGATCTTAGCATGAAGTTAAAGAGAACCTGCTTAGTCATAGTTTGTTGAACAAATATTATTAATTTCTTAGCCATTGTACAAATATTATTTTCTTAGATATTCTTTGTTCTGTTGTGTATTGCCAATATCCACAAGAGAATACATGTCTTTGTTCAAATAAGTCTCAGATTTTTACAACAGTGAGAATATGTATACATGGGTATATGGAACCATTGGATCGGAATAAGAGAAAATTGTAACATTTCCCTGATCTCTGCTGTTTTATAGACCAGTCATGTCCTTGATAAAGATTTGAATATAGAATTTTTGAGAAGGTTTCTAGAGAAAGGTTTGAATTGAACAATATTAAAAGAAGATATGTACTAACCCTCCTCCATGTATCCACACCATGACAGCCTTTGGTTGCGAGTCTGACCCATTCCCTGGTGCCCATATGTTCAAGGTCAAACAGTCCTCTGACATGTTGTCAACAGAGCCCCCTTGTGACTGGTATATAAAAGGATTCTGAATGCAGACTTTGCCATACTCTGTTGCGTTCCTTGTCTCATTCCATGTTGTCGTCAACGCTCGTGGAGGTCGGAATCTCAGATCCCCAACGGGAGGATCGGCATATGGGATTCCGAGATACGTCCTGAACTCCAGATCTTTGCCTTGAAATTGCGGTATATATTTGAATTCTTCAAGTGAGTTCAAAGTTCCTCTAATTGGTCCAGCTGGGATAGTAATGAGTGACTCCTCTTGAGTCCTGACACCCATAAACTGTACTAGAATCATCCCCAGTACAAGCAACATTTTGTTTGTGAATCCAAATATTAAGAACTAATTTTAATTAATTTTTTGTGAACAAAATAAGCTGACATAAAAAAGGTCATTGAAATCACCAATACATAGATTTGTACAGTTCAGCAATTGCCAACGTATCTTAAACTTATGAAATACACTAAATGACACTCCTTTTATTCATGCTAGTGTGTTTGTTCAGCCAACTGTGTTTGTAAAAGGGTTTACTCAAGAAAGAGGTGCGATTATTGGCAAATATCCCTATGGTCAAAATGAATCATTCTAAGGTGTAAAAACATGAAGAATAGAATTATTAAAGGGCTCAGGCACACATAAGCTGAGATAGGGATCATTTCGTTCAGTAAGGCTGTTTTGACTTACATAAGCACGGTGAGCAACCATACCGCACCGGGGATCGACCCCGGTGCGTCACACTTTTCCCCGGAGCGTTGGTAATGCACCGTCCTTTTAAAATGGCGGACGGAAATGTGTTTCCTCTGGAAGAAACAAATAATAGTGGAAACCAGAGATGAGTGAATATCTTTTAACACATTCCATTCTAAACACGATATATCAGGGTACCTTATCAAAATTCCACAAAGCTGTAACATATCGGTATTATGTGAACGAAATGTAAATGCACCTTGAAAAATTCGAAGGAAAGTTAAAGGCTCGTCTAAAATGTTGTATTTCTTGTCAAAGAAATGATTGGAACAACCACAGATTTTTTTACTCAATATAGATATATTTATAAACATACTACTCTTCAATATCTTACAATTCGAACATTGTATAAGCGTCATTTATTTTCATGAAATGTACCTTCCAAAATTGATGGGGTAACGCACCAACACAAATCTACGACAATTTAGAAACGCACCGGTTTTATTTTTACAGGAAACGACGGAGAAGTTCTGGACTGCAATATTTAAACTTACCCTGTTAAAAATGTTCAACCTTGAATTTGGGACATCAATGATTGTACAATGGTTGTTCAATGGATTTTCCAAGGTTGTTTTTTTCAACAGATGAAAAAAGCCATGAATTTTTCATTGGTTAGTTAAAATCCCTTGAATTTTTAAAACAATGCCTTGAAAACATAATTCAACACCTTGAATTTCACTTGCAACCCATTGAAAATGAATAACAATGATGATTTCAAGGTACAGTAAAACCAGCATATATGAAACAGTAAAGAATATGTTAAATTCTTGCTGAAATTGTTTCATTCAGACAGGTCTTTTTTCCAAAGGTGGTTCATTCTTTAAAAAAGGTGGGTGTTCAGATATGACCATTTTGGCTCTAATTCACTTTGAAAGTGCTAAAGATGATGAATACTGCATGATCATGTCATCGAACGAAGTTCCAGGGGGATTTAGAAAAGCTATCTGTCGGTTTTATTTTATTGATACCTAGGGACAAAGGAGCTCTTCTTAAGAAAAAATTGCCAGGATGAAAGCTGAATTTCAAAAATGCCGCCATTTTTTCATAAAAAAATGTATAAATCAAATACCAGTGGATAGGTTGTATACAAGTGGAAAAAAAGAAGTAAAAAAAGCAAAAGCATAATATTTGATAACTCAAATATCAGATGATGGATTTGGTTCTAATCTTATATATGCTGATACCTGGAGACAAAGAAGCTCTGTTCAAGAATTTTCATGATGGTTGCTATTTATCAAAATTTTGTTTGATGGGATTTATTACTCTGTAGAGTTGCTTTTCCTCATCCTTGGTTCAAGGATTTTCACTTCTTTCCATAATTTAAGCATAAATAAATTAATTCCTTTGAAGAAGGATGCTGTTTTTGAAAGAATTTATGACTCTGGGGGGAGTTCATATATGTCATCAGATTGAAAAAATAGAAATTGAAGAAAATGATGTATTTGGTATTAAAGAAGCTACAGTGTTTATCTTGAACAAGTTCTGAAATTAAGCTAATGCAGACCAAATATCACATTGAAGGCAGGATACAATCAAATCCTTATTACCCAGATGTTAGTAGGTAGTTACCAGTTTCACCACTAGGTGGCTGATTCGGGTGGGTAAATTAACATGGCAGGTATATATATTTAAGTTTAAGTCGATAAATTTTCATATTATCCTTATGTGTCTGATAATTATACAAACGAAAATATGTCCAGTAAAAGAAAATATTATCTGCACATTGCTCAACACAAGAAATGATATTTCACTTTTGTGATTTTGTAACATGGGGTCTATGGGGAATCTTGCCGACCTAGAAGTCACATTTTCAAAGAAGATTATATTTTAAAAGTTGTTAAAAACCACAATCTCTTGGGATGGACCTGTATATAATATATATATTTTATTGACTGATTGACTCTTTATTCCAGAACGATGACATATTAGACACAACATGGGCTTTCAAGAAAGCCCAAAGTCACATATTAGTTGAGAAGTTTTAATTTTGCTGAATTCAAGACATTGAATATTATGCAAATGAGCATAGAATATTATGTAAATGAATCATGTGACCCTTGAAGTTGTTGAAATGTTCTTTTGGAAATATGTTTCTAAAACTTTTCTTAATGAAATTGTTCATTTTGAACATTTAATGTTAAAGTTTTTTTTATAAAAGAGAAATTCGAAAAATAGTTTTAACATCCATTTCCAAACTTAAAAGTGATTTAAGAATTACAATAAACAGCAAATGGCTGGAAAATTATTACCAAAGCAATCAACATTTTTGTTTTTATAATTATACAATCTGTTGTGATCAAAAAGTTCATTTAAAAGAGTGCATCAATCCAGGGGAGTAGCCAGCACTTGTAAGTGTGTGTGTGTGGGGGGGGGGGTGCGATTCTTTGGATTTGCATCACTAAGAACCCTGGAAATTTTTGAAAATCTATATTGTCTATAGTGCATTCTAAGCATTTCAAAATGTAATTTTATAATGTTTTTGCAACAAATTTTACAAAATTGCTTTTTTGTGGGGATGGGGGGGGGGGGCACTCCCCAGGCTATGCCCATGTCAATCTCTGGAATATCAATATATGTATTGATATTACCACTTCCTAATTGTTGTTTGATTTCATAAATCACCGATCAAGAGAATTTTCATTCTCATATCCTTCCTTACATTTATATAACTGCTAACATTAATGGTCAAGGTATAGATTCAAAGGAACTATTATATATTACCACTATAGTGACCTAATAACCTAATAATCTTTCTTAATACAGTAGTCCTTAATCTTCTAGTAAGGCCCATAATGTACATGGGTACATAAATGAACTAAGCTTATTATAAAAATTCTAAAACAATGAAGTAAAGATTATAGTTCATCAAATCTAAAAAAATAATTGCTAGACATAAAAGTAATCAAGGTTGTTTTGATCAGACAGTAATAAAACAAGGAAATGGACAGATTAAGAAATTAGCCCTTTGTTATCATTTGATACTAATTTGTTGGTTTAACAACCCTTGTAACTAGAGTTTAGTCTCCAATTGTTATTATAGGTGCATGTAACAAATCATTGTAACCAGGGGTATAGCCAGCAGGCGTCAAAGGGGGGGATGTGCATTTCTGTGAGCGAAGCGAGATCCGAAAAGGGGGTAAGGGATCCACAGAGATTTTTCAACAATCTCCCCTGGCTACGCCCACGGTTGCTCTATACAGCATTAGAGGAGAAGCAATTCTACAAATCATACTATTCTTTATCTACAAGAACATTTATCATTCAGTATAGTTTTAAGCAACACATGTAAAATAATAATATAAAGATATTACACATCAATTATCAAATTAATACTTTTGACTGTTCACTAATCTTTTTTTAGTTCAATTTGGAATTGGAAAAGGTGATTTCTCAGTCCAATTTGAAGTTTATTAACTGATGCAACAGGGAAGGAATATCACTGGAAAGACATAAACATGACTGGGTTTAGTGGGAGGGGGGGGGGGGTTGAGGGTGTTACATATGATGCCCATGTTGTCACATTAATTCTCAACATATCAAGATATTGAATGGTGCAAGATAAAATCTATTTGGCACGAAATTAGTGTTTTGACACTCACTTCACCTTTCATATAGTTTAACTCATTAATTAGAATGAATGTGACAGGAAAGAACAGCCAAGTACTTATTGCCTTTTTAAAAGATAAACAAGTATATTGGGAATTTCAGGCAACTCTTGTAAATAGATAAGAAAATAAAACAATGAAATCAACACACATTCAAACATAAACAGATCAATGAATTAGGTCTGGGCTCATATTAATCCTACATGAACACAAACCTATAATTTTGATTTCAATGGAAAAATCAAAATTTAAAATGTTTGTTCTACACCACACTTACATGTACATGTAACACTATAGGGTTTGGAAATCATATGTGAACCAAAATCAAATCAACAGATTGGTTAAATGTTTAAAACATTAATTTTCAATCACGCAAACAACAATATCTGCTAGTGAATATCAAGAGAATGATATGTTTTATATTTTTGGTTTAACTCAATATATAATGTAAGTAAGTAATTTTTGATATTTTATCATTTCAGTTGTAGTGTTGTGGTATAACAGTTGTAATACTTGGATAGCAGAACACTTTTGGCTAAATTCAAGACATTGAATATTATGCAAATGAACATTGTATATTATGCAAATGAGTCATGTGACCCTTGAACAAAAGTGTGATAATAAGATCTTATGAAATAGTAAAAGTAATAACTTTGCTACTTTTTTCAATGGATCATTAGAAATATCATATTATATGAGGTTATGTTTTTAATTAGGTTTACAAATTAGGTTTAGAAGATCTGTTATACATTTCAAATTTAAATCGTTTAATGAATTCAGAAGACGTTACAAATGTTTGGATAATAGCTACATGATCATAAGTGCAATCAATGATTTTGTTTTCATAACAACCTGTTGTGACCAGGATGACCATTAAAGATTGATGTTAACAGCTTTCTCTTTGTTGTTAGAACGGTCAAAATGAAATTATTCTTATAAATGTTTGACTGCTGATATCTACAT